ACAGCTGAGCGGCTGCAGGGAGCGTTAATTAAACCTCGTTAAACATCATTAAACACGGCACAGCTGCTTTCCCAGGGATACAGGGACCCTTTGCACCTCCTCCAGCAGGGACGGGGCTGGGGGGGGCTGAGCCAAGGGTTCGGGTGGCCCAGGAGGGAGAGAGGCCCAGGGGTTTCCACTGCTGCCATCGGCCGAAGAGGCCGGAATGCCAAAAATTGGATGGTGACAAAGCAGAGCTGGGGAGCTTAGAGACAGCCCTGGCGAGAGTCCCTTGTCCTGCCCCCCTGGACCCCGTGTGACAGTGCCCTCAACACCCACGCCCCTTTGAAAGGGGTGACGGTCACCCCCGGGGGTCGGTGTTGGGTGCTGGGGACATTGGACAACCCCACCACGAGGGAAGCAGAGGGGAGGTGACATCAGATCCCGGCCAGGGGCAGGACAACATGGCCACTGCTGTGCCCTGCGCAGAGCCCCACGTCCCTGTGAGCCCAGCATCCACGCACAGACCCTTCATCGCTCACAAGTCCAGAAAAACGCTGCAAAAACCCCAAAACCCAGCTCAGCCTCACTGCAAACCTAAGAGCGGGAGGGGCTGCCCTTCCAAACACCCCCATCCTGGACTCAGGATCTAGAAGTTCCTCCCGGGAGAGCCCCCTTTTCCCTGGAAAATGGGGAGCCCCCAAGGTACCTGGTTTTGTGGGTGACAAGGGACAGGCGGACCCAGGGCCACAGCGCTGGCAGAGGCAGCTCCACCTTTGAAGCAACAACTTAACATATGGGCTCACTCTTAAATACCCCTCCAGCTCCTCTGTGCTGGGCTGCCGGGTGCGCAGGGCACCACCGTCACCGGTCACCGCCGAGCCCTCCCGGGCACACCCGCTGGTTTTTCTCTCGCCCACGGAGCCCGCTCTGCAGTTTCCTGCCCACATCTCTCCCAGGAGCACGGAGCGAGGCGGGGAGGGAGGAGGAGGAAGGCGGCTCTTGCTCATCCAAAACATTGACTGTGCAAACACGCGGCTGGGAGAGGAACAGTGAAACCATGAGAACCCGTTTATTGTTCCAGCACGGCGCAGAGGTCACAGCTCCGGGCTCTTCCTCCCAAGGAGACACAGCACAATCTGTTTGGGGCAGGGATTAGGAGAGGAAGCTGCTGGCAATCTGCTCCCAACTTTCCTGTTGGCGCTGTAAGTGGCCTCTGTACTGTACTAACAAACGCCAGCAGCTTTAACCCCTTCCGCATCATCCCGAGTGTCCCCCAGGGAAGCACCGGGGCGCTCAGGCACCGGGACCCGGCCCAGCCCCACCGCGGTGTCCCCGGGAGGGTTTGTTCCGGTAGCTCCCAGTGCCAGGGCGCTCACGGGAAGAAAACCGGAGCACGGGGCTGTGGTGCCCCCCCGCCGCGGGGACGCGTGTGCCCACCCGATTTAACAGGGTTTACACAAAGCATCAGCAAAAGCCGTACTCCCAGGACCCTGCAAACCCGAACAGGGAGAGTTCAGCATCCGCTCCTGTGAGTTTCAATTTAAACGGGGTAAAACCGAAGTCACTCCAGGCTGGAGGAGCCTGGAAGGAAAAACGCGGCGCAAACCCGCTCCGGAGCGCAGGGCGCTGCTGAAGAGAGGGCGCCCTCTGGTGGAGCCGGGGTGCGTTGCAGCACAGCCGGGATGGGAGCGCCGAGCTGCAGCCGTGCGGGAAAAATCCTTGAATACCAGGTTGGGAGCGACCACAGGGATCATCCAGTCCAAAAAAGAACATTTCGGAGAACATAATAACTCACAGGGCACGGCCCTGGCCCCTCTCGGCTCCGGGTGAAGGGTTCGGCAGTCCCAAACACAGACCAAGGGGACCAGCGCGTTCAGCATCGCCACAAGGAGCAGTTTCAACCGGCCCCGGCAATTTCGGAGCGAGTTGTTTGTTTGCTGAAGCAATCGTGGCCCCAAGGGGTTGTGGGACTTCGGCTTTGCTATGAAACATTAATTAAAAGAGAGGAAGGGTGCAGTGAAATTGGGAATAGGGCACCTCCAGAGAGCCTGCTGACTCAGAGATGTGTATGTGGGGGAGGACGAGGATGTCCCGGGCAGTTTTTGGCACGTTACAAACAGAGACGACACGGAAAGCATGACCCAAAACCAGGGCTGCTGCGAGCCCACCACCACAGGCTCTGGGATTACTCATTATTATTGTCTAGCACCAGATCACACAACCCCAAAGGCAGCCACTGAAAGTCTCCAGGGACCCTCTGGGTCCTTCTGCTGCTGCCACCAAAGCAGGGATTAAAGGCTGTGGCTCCCAGAACGTAAGAAGCCAAGATTTGCAGTGTCCTGAAGAGCAGCCCCAAGCTGGCACCCAGGCTCAATTCCAGCAGCAGCCAAACCTGCGACCGCCCAGCGCTTTCCAAGGCTCCGTGGGCAGCACTGACCCCAGCGCCCACTGCACCACGCCAAGCACCAGCCCGTCCTCCGCAGCATCGGCTCCTCTCCAAATACTTATTGAGTCCTGGGAGTGCTGATCTGGGAAGCTTCATCCCTCGGCCTGACCTGTCCTGTCCCATGGGGAACACCAACCGGAGCTGGCGACTGGCAGCAGGACCCAGCTCAGCCCATCCGAGCGCTGCAGAGGTGGACTCTGATGATGGTGCAGAGCCAGCAAGGGGCAGCTCCCGGCTTCTCACGCAGGCAGACGACTCCGTGCTGTCACTTTAAGGGCTCAGCAGATCTCTGTCTACTCCAGGGTGCACTCAGGGGTTCCCAGAGCCGGGCAGAGCAGGATCCGAACGGGAATCGGCCCTTCCAGGGCCTCTCACACACCAGTCCCGTTTACACGAGGATGAAAGATGCTGCATCAGAAGCAGGAAAGGCAAAGGAAGGAGGAGCACGGACACTGGTGTGGTCTGAGGGCTCAGCCTGTCCTCACCATCGCTCCGAGGATGGGACTGCCTGGGGTTGGGTCACGGCAAAGGCAGCTCCATCACCGGCATCAAAACCTAAAGAAAACATCCGGCTTGGGAAGTTTGAGAGTTGCCGTTTAATCCCGAGACAGCGCAGCTGAGTTTAAGTTACAAAAAAAGAGAGCACTAGAAAATAATCTTGATACAAGAGCAACGAGCAGCCGAGGTTCCCCGCCCCGCACGGGGACCCTGCTCCGCAATCCGCCCAGCACAGCTGGGATGCTGCCGAGGCAGTGCTCGAATCCCAGCACTCGCTGGGGTGGCGAACTGTCCTGGGTGAGACCCGGTGTCCCCGCAAGCGGGAGTTACGACGCTGCCACCAGCTCTGGCTTTGGCCTGTTCTTGACGGGCGACGCGTCTGCGGGAGAACCAGAAACTCGTTACAAAAACTCGAACACAAATCACCGGCACTCGTCTCCCCTAGGAGAACCAGGACTCATCATCCACTCCTCTATAAAGCAACACAGGCATGCACAGCACCTGCACTAATAACTTCGTTATAAATAATTCCACCTATGCAGCGCTCCTCTTTTCCACAGCGCTCGAACTGAGGCAGTTTCAGAACACACCCAACACAACCTCAGCACCCACCAGCCCAGATCTGGGGCAGCCAGCGACTTCCTGGGGGGCTGTGGGGAGCTTTTCCCCTCACCCCTTTGACCTGACAACACACATTTACATGAGGCTCCATCGGTGGCACACAGTGGGTGTTGTTTCTGTGGGTGTTCCTGCTGCTATTTATTTCACTTGCCTGCCCTGCTGCCAGCGCACAGGGGTGACATTGGATCTGTGTTTACCAGTAAACAGGCACTAAAACACGTCCCAGATTTGTCCCGGGCAGATTCCACACAGGGGAAACAGCTCCTTACAAGCCCTGCTTTCCGTCCAGCTTCTGCACCGATGGTTTGGGGTTCTGCTGCCTCAGGAGACACGGACCCTGCAGCAGTTTGTGTCCTGGCAGAGCCCAGCTCCACCTCAGTTTGCCCCCAAAGGCTCCCCCTTGGGCTCTGCAGCAGGGACAGGCAGCTGGTGCCGCGCTGTGAAGGCTCCTTCCTCACCAGGGGACGGGCAAAGGGGGCCCATTTGGTCACACAGCTTCATGAGCTCTGTCCTCACACCCGTACAAACTCTGCCCCTGAGGTTTTGGATCACTCAGGAGCAAACGTGCTTGGGGCATCAGCTGTGCAGAGCTCATGATCCGACAGCCCCGGAGCTGCGGGGCTCCAGTGACCCTCACCCAGCCGGTGTAAATTCACCACTGTCACCCAAAGCAAGGTCACAGCAGCTACGAGTAGTCACAGAGCCCAGCAAAATCCAGTCTGTGCAGTGTGAATGCCAATATCGTGGTCACATACACTGCTCCTGTGTGGCAGCACGTTGTGGTGATGCACAGGGACTGCTCTGAGCGCCCTGTGAGAAAGCCTTGACTGGATGAGGCAGAGAGGAGGAAGGAGCTCACGGTGGAGCATCACAACTGAGCACACACGGGTGCTGCGAGGCAGCCGGGTCTCACAGCGGTACCAGGCGAGACTCCAGAGCAAAAAGGGCTCAGGAGGAGTGAGCAGAGGTTGGCTGAACCAACCCTGGGTCCTCTGATGGTGAAGGGCCTGCTGGATCTGCACAGCCCCCATCCACAGGGCTCGGACCCAGAGCGTCTCCACCCCTCACAACAGGAGAGGTCCCAGACCATGGCATGGACCCGAGAAGGCTGGGAAGCCAAAGCTGAGAGCACACAGAGCACACGTACCTGGGATCTTCTCCGGGAGCGGCTCAGAGGGAACTTCAGGAAGCTCCACCTGTTCCTGCAAGGACACCAAGCACCCGTGACACACACGTACAGGCGGTGGCCCCAGCCCCTGCACCATGGGCAGAGACTGGGAACAGAGCAACAATACCAGAGATCCCACACAGACACTGCCCCCAGACCTGCAGCACTGCCCAACAAACGAGCACAGCGCCTTGGGTAGTTACTAAATGAGACTTAAAAGGACCCTGGATTAGCTACAAGTCTCCTCAGATCAACGCTGCTTGCAGATCCTCTCCATTTCTAAACGGCCCCGGTGCACGGAGTGATTCCCTTCATCTTTGGTGACACAGTAATTGGGCATAAATGGGTGTAATTGAGATCTCCAGCAGAAAAAGATAAACTATGGAGAGCAGGAGAAGGGCACTTCCTCTGCAAACAGCTTCCTGAAAACGCGGATTTAACTACACGAACTTCAGCCCTACCTGAGTAATTGCGTTTAATTCTTCTAGGATGGCGTCTTCGTCTTCCTCAGTCAGGCTGCCAGCCAGCAACTCGTCTATTTGCTGGGAAAGAGAGGAAAAGGCAAATCCCAGTCAACAGCAGCGCAGCAGAAACGGCTCTGGGATGTGCAGCATGGTACACGTGCACGGTAGAGCAATGTAACTGCAGGACAAAGGGGCACTTGGAAATCCAACACCGTTTTCCTGCAGGTAACTGGGATTTAATTCCCAATCTGATTGCCTCGTAGAAAAGGCTGGGCACACAGCGCCCACCAGTCTCTGCGTGGCAGACAGCCCCTGCTACAGCCGCAGTACGCACCCTCTGGTACTCCACAGCGTCTTGGGTTTCTCCTATGATTCTTTCTACTTCTTCTATTGACATAACCTGAAGAGAAGAACGACAAAAACCCACGTGTGACGAGCTCTGCTGGGCCTCAGCTGCAAACACCCAGCGCTGCAAGCGTGCGCTCAGTCACCACAGCCACGCGTACCTGGTGCATTTTGTTCAGACACTCGTTGCCTATTTTCAGGCCCTCGATGACTTTCATCTCAATCTGGGTGAATTCAATGTCCTGCACCTGAAAGAGGACGGAGAACGGGGACACGTCGCAGGCTGCCCTGTCCCCATCAATGGCCAGACACAGACTGCCAGGACCCCCAGAGGGGAAACCGGTCCAGAGCCCTTTCTCTGGTGAGCAGAGCATTAAATGCTGGTTGTAAGGACCGTGCACACAAGAAGCCTCAGCACAGGCAGCTGCAGAAGTGGCCCTGTAACTCATTTTCTGACGGTCTAAGCCACAGCTCCAGTTTCCAGCTTCCCAGGACAAACAAAACGCCTGTTTCTAAAATCAAGGCAGCGGGGCAAGCCCCAGGGAGCTCCCGCTGCAGCTGCCCACACCGTGACTTGTTTTACTAATTTACAAAACACACTTTTAACACATAACCTGCACTACAGACACCAAACATCCTCACCACGGGATTTTTTTAGGGAAGAATCACGACATACAAACGATTTCAGAGGTGTCTGCCCTTTGAACAGGGCACCAAACCCTCCTGACAGTTAAACTCAGCTCCACGCCATCAGGAGGAGCACCTGCCCCAAAACAAGACCTGTCCCGAGCGGGCAGCTCCGAGCTGATCCTCGCTTACCATGCGCTCCAGGTTGCTGATTTGGTTTTCTGTTTTATCTAGGAGCTGCTCTTGGTAACGCTTCTTCTTCAGCAAGAGCATGGCTTTTCTGGAGGAAAAACAGGAGGAGGAAAACTCAGCGCAGGAGAAAGCAAATAAGCCTAAAGAAAATCACATGGAAGTCACAGCCGTGCTTTTTCCAAAGGAGGACAAACCCACGTGTGAATTAAATGGACAAACCCACGTGTGAAGTAAATGGCAACTCCGAGCTGCTCCTGTGCAGGATAAGGGTGAGCAAATCCACCACAAATTTGCCATCTGGTACCTGAAAATTCAGGGCTATTTGTTGTGGATTAGGACTTCCCTGGGCCAGTTGTGTTGTAGCAGTGGAAAACAAAGCGCTTGCCACAAAGAGCTTATCGTCCACACACAGAGCAAGGGGGAAGGGATGGCTGTGGACACAGCACCCGCACCT